AAACGATCTGGCGCATTATTCTTTTAAGCATCATAAAACTTTAAAATGAGTTCAAAAGAAATTCATTTTTACTTTAGCACACGCCAGATTTTAAATTAGTATTTGTTTTGTATGCACAATTTTTACAATTTTGATAAACGAAAATAGAGGCTCGCAGTCTCAAAAAAATGTGCCATTAATGGCGATAAATGACTTTTTGTAGCACCCATCTTCTTCGGAATTCAAGCTCTTAGAAAAAGGGGACAGGAAAACGTCGCGCATTTCGTGGATTAGATAAGAGGGGGAGGAGGGATCTTCAATCAAATTTCGCGCAGTTCGTACCCTACCCTAAAGATATGCTCATTTTAAAATTATTTTGCGATATTGCTGTTGAACTGGATTTTATGGTTTAAGTGCGAAGAACGTGATATTTAATAAATAAAGTTAACACACAAAAAGTTAAAAAAGCGCCGCTTTAAACTTAATTTAAAATCTCTTTTTTTTGGGGGGGGTAAGTGGAGAGAATTTTAATTGCAAGTCAGCTCTTTAAGACATACCCGTCCCTTTTTGAGCGGAGAAAATATATTTTTACATCTGGTGCCCGTAAAGAAAAAGTACTATAGCAGAATTTTAAGATGTTCTAGGAGACTTCGAACTAGTTTTCAATTGCATGATGTACAGAGCTGGCTAAGAAAATATTGTTTCATGCTGATCGTTATACACGTAAACTTCGAAGTCCGTCTATAATTTGATAAAATGGTAGCCAACTATCGCAAATTTCATCTCAAGAGGAAAAATTCTAGCACTAGTTAAATGAGTTTTACTTTTTTCAAAAATGTAATTAAAAATATTTAAATGTTAAATAAACATTTATACATTTAAATGCCATTGACTTTGGTGATTTTACGCTCCAATGTAGTTTATAATTCCCTCTTTTCCCAATTTCCCCTTGTTAGGTGGATTATTATTTTATTACTGTTTATAATATCCCTTAACGCAATTTCTTTTAGCACGCATTAGTTGGTACGTTTATTAATAACGTTAAACGAAATTTTTCTTCATCTTTTATCTTCTGACTTTCATTTTATGTACTTCACTAGCAGTATTTTTTCGTACTACCTTTTTAATTTTGTTAAGGACTGCACAATTTACGTTAGCACTAAAATTCGTGGGACAAAAGTGCCTAAAAATAAATTGTCTCGTCCGGAAGACGGGTTTAGGAGTGTGAAGGGTTAGTATAAATAGTAGATTATGTGTAGTGTACGAGTTTTAATGTTACTAGAATATTAAAAGGCTTTTTTCCTTCTTAGCATAAATAGAAGGTAGGATGTATTATGCTGGTATAAAGTTCCTAAACTGCTAGAAAGCATAATTTATGCTACTTAGCGCAAGGAGTCATGTAACATTTTCTTTTGCTGCAGTTTCTGTCATAAGAATTAATGCAAAAATATCTTAATAAGCTTTAATGTAAGAATAGTTCTGTTTGCCTTTTAGTGACGTTTCTGTGCAATATACATACAAAAAAGGGTATCCCTGTTTTAAAATAGAATCTTATTGATCGAAATCTGTTCTTCCTACCTGAAGTACACGCCATTATAGCGGTTTAATAAAAATGTCTGCTGCCTTCCATGAAAATCAGATTCATCAGTTAGAATCACAGTTTTCTTTCGCTTTGTTTGATTCAGCATAGAAAAAAGTGAAATAAATAGAAAATCTTGAATGAAATTTTGAAATAGGTAAAGTACTGAAATTACCATCGTTATTTTTATTCCGAAGTATGCGGTTTCATTTTAGATAGCAAATTATTTTTACCTTGCCTATTCTATTTATATTATTTTATTTATTTATTAAAAATGTAAGACTAAAAGTAGTCTTTCATATAACGCTGAAACTCCGCTGGTATAGTTATTGAAACAGCTTCGTATCATAAATGAAATCTCGGAAGTTGAAATCCTAATGGTGAAAAGATATACTGAGTACTCTGGCTTAAAATTTGATTAATGAAGTTTTGCTGTGAACAAACATTCATAAAGTTTGGGTATAAACAAACATTTAATAGATAATTCTTTGGTAGATGACTATATTAGTATTCTATGCCTTTGATGCACTTATTCATTGCCAATGAAATATTTTGAAAATTTGTTCGATAATATGTCAATCAAATTCGTCGCCTAGTAGCAGATGGAAATGATTCGCACAAATATTATTGCTTTGGGACTTAATAACCCCACTGACTGCGCGTTCGCGTATGACGTCGTCATCGAAGTGGTTGGTGGTGGTGCATCGGACAGTGGATCGATGCGGATGTGGGGCTGCTCCCTTCCCAGCATTCCTCGCACATCCATCGCGGAATCACACTTCACGGAGAGGACTCCAACGCTGTTCAACGCTGTCTTAGCCATGACCACCGTCTACAGGTAAAAACAACTGCTAATGTCATCATGTCTCACCTGTAGTTGAGTGTGATATTAGAATATAACATTTGCCAATTGGATTTCGCTTAACGTTTCTTAAAGAGTATCGCATTATTATTTTATCTCGTACGAGAGGGGGGAAAAGAATTCGTAATTTTCAGCATTTGTTTTCCGAATTCGTCGGGACTTTTTTGTGAAAAGTATATACATAACTGGTTGGTTTTCATATATACCTATGACGTATGTGACACTTTATGAATGAATATTCTTCTGTTTGTTTTGCATTTCATGCATTAGCTTGTTTTATTATACAAAGATTATAATTTTGTGAATTTTTGAGACACGTAAAATCTAAATCGGAATATATTATATATATATATATATATACATATATATATAAATTATTAATTATAGAAATATTTAACAATAACCGATTTACAATTTTTTGGCAGTCTAAAATTTTATATATCTATCACAAGAGAGAGGAGATTAGATTCTGTATGGAAAACGAGAGAAAAATATTTTTCTGTGAAGTAGAGGAGATAATATTGTAGTTTCTATATTTATACTTCTCTCTCTCTTTTTTTTTTCTTCTTTTTCTTGCCCCCCGCCCCTCCAGTTAACTTGAAATTCTTACAATGACCTTTATTGCGATTTTGAAGCAGACACTCGTTGATGAAATAAAAAGAAATATAAATTTATAAAGTTTGTTAAATAAATTAATATTAAATTGAAAAGTAGTCTGTGGCGGATTTAGAAGGTCAAGGGCCCATCTTATTTGAACTTTTGCAGAGCCTCCTATCTGAAGAATAGTATATGCTTATTTTATATTTCAATCGTAAATGTGGAGTTACTTTGGAATGAGGGACCACTCATGATTGCGACCTGCTTTCAGAACCCGTAAACTGAGTTCTGAAAGTTATAAATAAAAGTATCCTAGAAAGTACTTCTTTTTTGTCAAGCATTTTCTATAGGCATTTAATTTTTGTTATTCTGAAACTGATGACACTGATGGGAGCGCATCAACTGCCGTGAGCTAGTAAATGCTTGTATCATATTTCAAGTAATTTGTATTCTTTTTATCTTCATGTAGACATCCAAAATTAAAAGTTTAAAAAAAAAATCAAATATATTGCTTAATAGCAGATAACTAGTTAAATGACATTATCAGTTCTGGTCCCCTTCGAAAGCATCAAACTTTATATAGCATCAAATTTTTGCTGACAGTTTTTTCTGTTCCTTTCCTGCCTTCCCATACTTTAAAACGTTGAATAGAAAACCTTAGCTTCTTGAAGCCAAGATATATTTTGTGTTTGGTTTCTGTAACGCCCCTATGAGTTCAAAACTTTTCCAATTTTCTTGTAATATTAATAATGATGTACTCTTTATTATTAATCTTATGTATATTATATAGGACAGCATAATACATATTACACCTAATGAAATTGTTTTTCCTCTAAAGGTTGCATTAAAAAAAAATATCACCTAGGATTTTAATGTGTTATAATACATTAAACTATAGGTTATCTTATATGGGGGAATTAAGAATTTTGTTTTACCGTTTTACCAGAGTGGCAATCAGCAGCTTACTAATACTAACTGATACATTATTGAAATGTAATGCAAAAGTATGTCCAAACAAAGTAGTTCCCCCCCCTTTCATGATTCCTTTCTAATGTGAGTAATACTTCCTGTTTGTGTGAAAATATAGGAAACAATTTTGAAACTTACGTATGAGGGAAAGTTATTGAAAATAAAATGTGTATTTTGTACTTAAAAAATTACCTATTTTTCAAATTTTCCAGTGTCTGTGAGCAACATGCATTAAAATGGCTGCAGTTATGTCACTTTCATTCATGTACTAATTATCTAAGTTTAAGACTTATTATTTATTTGCATTACAAAATGTGGCTATCTGTACAGCATGAGCCATGACGTTTGTGTTAGAAGGTCAGTTTAATAAAAGGTACTTTAACCTTAAGTCTTGTCATGCTATTTTAGATATAGCAATAACCTGCTATCGGTTTAGTAAAGTTATAGAACTAGTTGCAGTATCAGATTATGTATAGCTTTATATGGTTTTCCCAGTATTTTAAAACAGCTTAAATTAGAGAATGAGTTAAGTAAATCAGTATTGAAAACAAAAACAACATATATGAAAGAAGAAACATCATTAGAAATAATAAAATAAAATTATAAATAGCATTAAGGAACAAATATTTATAACAGAACTTGAACACTACCATTGAATTCAAACTGTTATAAAATAATCAATGAAAACATTTTCTTTTCAAACATTATTTGCTATCATTGTTTTATCCAGCTCATTACTCTTTTATTCCAACACATCATTCTGTATTTTCCTTAGAAAGTCCCCCCCCCGGCTGATAATTTGTGATAGTAGTAATAGTTCTGTCATTTCACAGTAAGCAAGCAACATTTTCTTCAGACAGAGCCCAGTTAATATAACCTCTAGGTGTTGGCTGATATATTACATCTGTACTCAAGCTGAAGCATAGAATGAACTGTTAAGTTTCTGAAATATGATTTTGTTATGCTTTTTATATCATTTATCTTGTATTTTAACTTAGCATATTTATTTTTTAGTGTAAAAGAAAGTCATCAGCTTGCTGAAGCCAATCAAGAAAAAAACTTGAAAATGAGAGAGGCTCTAGGAATCAGTCAGTATTTTGTTGAAGGAAGTTCACTTGATCCTGAAAGAAAAGCCAAGGAAGCAGCTGCAGCTGCTGCTGAAGAAGCTAAGAAAAAATACGCGTAAGTATGATTGTATAAAACATGCAAGCTCAAGTGTTATTAGTGTAATTTTAAAATTTGTGTTACTAAAATATACAAGACAGTATATTGCTCAGGTACCTGCTAAATGTTTTTTATAAACTTGTCAAGTCTACTAACGCTAGAAATATTTAAACATTTCATTTTCAAGGAAAAAAATATATTTATATTTGAATTAGTTTCAATTAAAAAAAAACTGTTATTATGGATTATTTGTTTCAAAATAAAATGATCTTAAGAAGCTACTAACAGTTTTCAGAAATGTATCTAGACACTGGTTTAAGTAATTCTAAGTTTATGTGAATATTTTCTAAGTAATGATATAGGTTGCTGTTCAGTGATAAAAGTAAAAAATTGTAGCAGCTTCTAATGTATTTAATTATTTGTGGAAGGTAGAGAATAATAATAAAAATGTGTATAACTTTAGGGTAATCAGATTATATTAATAATTTTATGTAACATAATTAATGTAATTATGCTAGTGATTGAGGAAAAAAAAAGAGAGAGAGAAGTGGATAAAAGGTTGAGGTGTTTAGAATCAGATGCAAAAATAAGTGAATATTAAAAAAAGTGTTTAGTTCATTCTGAGCAACAAAAAGGAAAGTTCTTAATATGTTATGTGAAACATTTTATGGGAAGTGTAATTTAATGTTCTTCTGCAAATGATGAATTTATTCAAATTAACAAATAAAATAGTTAAAGTATCCACACAAAAATACAAGTTTATGAATTAACATTTTTTTTTTTTTTTTTTTTTTTTTTTCTAAAATATTTCATGGATGACATTTATCATATGGTCATCCTTTAATTTTCATTTTATTTACTTTTTCTGTTTCAAGTTATTCAGATGTAAAATAGCTGCCAACTTTCAAAACAGATTCCCCCCCCCCCAATTAAAGAGTTAAAAAAAAATTAACTGCTTTTATGTATTTCTCTGAAAAGCAGAAACCACCCTCTGTATTTCATGATTATAGCACTGAAACATAAAATCGTTCAATATTATTTAACTACAACTGTTGAAAATTTCAATTTAATTCATTTTTAAGTTAAATTTTTTAACTTTGCTAGCCAATCATATTGCAATTTAAATATAATATTATGTTTAATGTATGGTGTAGATAATATTTTTACACTTATTTAGACTATTCCATTACTTCAGATAATAAGATAATTCTTTGAATGTGTGTATACATATATATATTTAAATATTACTTACTTTACTAGATTGATACCTGATTCCAGCAGTTCTTCTTCACCAGAAAGAGTGCATGAGAAAGAAAAGAAAAGAAAGAAGAAGAGATCTCGCACTAGCCATGAAAAGTAATTTCCTGTTATGGATTTTTTAATAATGAATCAGCTGTAATTCTGTTTATTCCTGACTTCATAAACAGATGTAATTTACCTTTAATTTTCTTTTTGATGAATAATAGTTTGAAGATTGTTCCTTTTTAATTTCAGTGTGAAAGAATCCCTGATTTTTTTTCTGTCAAATGTGTTAGTTTAATATATTGTTTAAAATCCATTGTTTTTGAAATCATAATTTGTTTCATTTTAGACCAGAGTCAACTCAGAAAAAGAAAAAAAGTGTCAAAAAGCATAAAAAAGAACGGTAAGATTCAGTAATTCATTTTATTTAAAAATTTCTTGCTCATGTTTAATGCAAAGCTACAGAAAATGAAGATAATTTTTAAAAAGTGTGCAGGATTTTTACTTTTTTTAATAATTATATTTATGTAATTTTTTTATTATTTTACGAAGTATATTTAAAATATAATTAAATTTTGATCTATGTTTAGAAAATACTTTGGCATAGAAAAAAAGAATTAACACATGCTGACTGCCTGCATGAAACTTTTTGTTTGTTTAAAAAATCATTCTCATGTAGCTCAATATATTATTTCATCTCCCTTTTCTGCTTGTTTTTCTTTCAGTGTTTGTAAAATGTATAGATTCATATTGAGTTACAGCTAATTCAACATGATATATAATTTATTGAAAATTATGCTTAGATCTTAGAATATTTTTCATTACATCCATGTAAGTTTAAACCATTGGCTGGTAAATTATATTTTACTTTTATTGAGTTATGTGAGCTATAAAGACTGCATTAACTTATAATAATTATTATTATTTTCCTCTCTGAAACATATATCAAAATGTTGCATTTCTGGAAATTATTGTGATTACCTGTTTAAGCTATCTCATTTTTACTTTAGGCTATAAATTTCTTTGAGTACAAATTTGTTTTTCAGTTTAGACTTATTTTACTAACATTCTGTATATTACATAATTTATAAAAATTAGAATGGATTATTAATGATATTTTCTACTTAATAATTTTCTAATTTTTATGAAAGCAGCATGATGTTTTATAACATAAGAAATAGTTTGTCATGTTTCATAATACAAGTAAATTAAACCACCTTTTTCATTTTTACCTTCAATTCATTATCATAGATCATTTTTTAGTCTCCTTTGACTAGCAGTGCTATTAATTTGAGCATGTGCATAAATAATGATTTGAGTCAATCAATTTCATAATAATCAGTGAGAGACGAAAAAAATATATTCAATTTTTTAATCATATTTTTCAGCTCTTTTATTTGGTATTGTATATTTTAAACTTCTTGGGAACAAATAGTAGTGTTGGTAGGCAAAGTGCAAAATATCTATTACTAATTAATAGTTGTTATTTGAAGGAGCGGTACTATTTGGTTTCGAGGGCTGTAAAAAAATTGCAGCGAAAGTGTATGTGCAAATGCGCCGAATCTAGCGTACGCGCTGATTTCAAATTGTGTAAGTTTATATAGTTATATATTTCTTAAGACGCCATTGAAATACTAGTTTCATTTAAGAATCCTTTTTTGATTTTAAATCCTTTTTTTTTTTTTTTTTTTTTTTTTTTATATATATCCTATGGATTTAACAATTTGTGAATTTCCCATGACGAAAAGTCAGCAATAGAATTTTGGGTAAAGTGCAGAATCACCCACTGTTTGACGCATTTTTAAGAATTGCACATACTCGGCATCCATGTGCACATCAACCTATTTTCACTTTAAAAAAAATCCTAGAATTGCACAAAAATGGCACTGCGCACATCCTTGACTTTATCTATGTATACATCGACCTATTTTCACTTAAAAAGTAGAAGAAAATTGACAAAAATCCAATTGTTTTTACCCTTGTAAAAAAAGCGGCAAACAAATAAGTGAGTGATTCTGGACTTTACCGAGAATATTTTCAAAGAAAAGGCATCATTCATTATACAAAATTACGTTTGAACAACCAATGAGATGAAATTATGCTTTAGCGATCAGTCGGTAACGAAATAGCAATGGAGGCATCTATTCAGTTATGTTTAGCAATTTTTACATAAATTATAATAATGATCTGAAATAGTTATTTACTCTTATGCTTCGATTCAGTCATGTTTAGCCTTTTTCATATAAATTATAATAATAAAAAAGTATTATATGAAATTAACCTTTCATCTAAATTAAAACATCAATCTTAAATGGTTATTTACTATTATACTTCCTTTCTTGCCGGAATTATGTTTAGCAGCATTGGCATCAACAATAGTTTGATTTTTTATGGCCCTCCAAACCGAATAGAACCGAAGGAGCTAAAGTAAGTTATTATTTTAACATTGCTGTTAAGGTATTGGGGGGGGGTAGTCATAAGAAGGAATTATTTTTTCTTGGTTCAAGAAATTAAACTCTGGCATTCAGGGAAATTAACTTTTATTAAATATGTAAAATAAAGTCCGAAATCTGGACGATATATATCCTGAATCTAAAATCTTGACCTGAAAGCCACCAACAAAATTTTTTCTCATAGGCCTTATGCATGCGCATTTGATCCTTCCTCCCACGCGTAACAAAACATCTGGAGATTCCCAATTTTTAATTTCACTTCGACACTAAATAAAATACCTTGTTATTGAAGAAACAATCATTTTAGCATAAATTTGTACAATCAGCCACTTGGCTCCGTTGCTACATATCTGCTTGGCACACATCTCGAACCAAAACATTCCACATAGATGCATCGTTGATCTGACACCAACTTGCGAATCATTATTTAATTATACTTCCCTTTCATCACCGCATGTTTATCAAAACATAACAACTGTAATAATGACTCATGTAGCGATGCCTAAACAATATTTTTATGTTAGTAATTCAATAATAAAGAAGTATGGTAACCTTTTATGTTGGCATTACGCTTGGCGATGATTACAGATTTAAATAAAATGTGCTAAAAATGTTCACGAGGAATAATTTAACAAAAATTTCTTCCCATATGCTAAAAATAACTATGCATATGCTAAATTTAACAGAACTACTTGTCATTAGTTGCCAAGTTTATGATGTAAAGCCAAATATGTATAGTGATGGATAGCTAAATTTGATGATGATAGATGCTAACTTTAAGGTTTTCGGATATCCCAAAAACAAAGGTAAAATTTTCTAATTAACGGAATTTTTTTAAAAAATGTGGAGAAGTAATAAATGAAGATGATATAGAAGAAGTTTTTCATTGTGATGACAATGCTTCTCAATAATTTAATGAATGGCAAAATCTGTAGTATGGTTCTAAATCCAGAAAATACCACTACCGATAGTGAAGAAAGTGACAGAGAAGTTACTGAAAACGCAAAATTTTCGATTGTCAGGTTAGTCGCAATTCTCGAAACAGCACTTTCAGAGCTTCAATGTAACTAAACAAGAGATTATGCCTGTCTACAGAATTAAAGAGAAAGTATTAGCACAAAAAACGAAGCAACTTGCATTGAAAGAAATGGTTAATAAGGTAAACAAATAAATATTAAGCTCTTTTTTGGGGGGGTAAATTTTGATGCCCAGATCATAAATATTTCATAAGTCATGATTTCATATTTTTAATTTTACAATTTCTGCGTGCCATCTTATTAGATTTAAAATGATGATCTAATATTCGGAAAGATTCCAAATCTGGAATAGCCGAAGTCCCGCCGAGTCCGGATTTCAGACTTTGTACTGTATTTATATTTCATCTTGCCTCTTAATTCTGAACTGTACCAATAAATGATTCCGTGTTCATTTCAGCAGACTTTTGACTTGCATGAAATTTGCGTGTATTATAAAGTGATTTAATTTTGAGGTGCAGGAATATTTCTGCTTTTTTGGTTGGTCAGCTGTTATACTGTTAATAAATGATTAAATACAGTAAACTCTCATTAACACAAATTTCAAGAACCAAAACAGAGTTTGTGGAAATTGGGGACTCAAATTTTATTTTTGAAATAGTTTTTATCTACACATTAACCGTTGATATATTGTAAGACCATATACATAACTTTCGGTACCAAAATTTTGTTATGTTAACTGAATGTTCACCTTAAGTGAGTTTGTGTAAAGGAGAATTCACTGTAGTTAAATAAATAATTCTAAACCTAATTTTACCGATTATAAAATGCAATTGCTAGTTAATTATTCTTGAAGTCGAAATTTAATTTATTTAATTAATTAAATTCAAATAATCATCTGCTTATTAAGCATCAGTTGTAGTGGTAATGAAATTACATTTTTGCTCTTCTTGAAATTTCCAATTAATACCCAATAATTTTATCGTATGCTATTCCAACCATAGTGCCATATATATTGTGGACAAATTGCCCTTAAGGATTTTGGAGGGAGGGAGTAAATTTTTAATTAAATCCTTCACCTACAGAGATGGTGTACCAGTGACTCCCAATTTTCAACCATACTCCTGCCAACCTGATTTAGAGCATATTTCTTCCAACTTTCTCTTATTTCTAAATTAATATTTTTATAACTTGGTAAAATACTAAATGTTAATAAAAGAATGCCCATTTATAAGTAACAATAGTATCAACTGCAAGTGTAGTAGGGTGTTTGTCCAAGGTCACAATTAAAGAGTAACTCAGACAGTTTTAGATAAGCACCGGCAGGAGAATTGTTTTGTCGTTTTCTTGCTTGCAGCATCATGTAAGCAAAATGGCAATTCTTGAACATAAAACATTTTGTGTTCTGCAATTTCCTAACAATGAATCTATAAATTCAGTTTAACATGCATTTCGTTTAAAGTTTTGTGATTCCCCATGTGGCAGAAACATCTGCCAATGATATAGGCCAGGGGTTCTTAACCGGTGGTAAACAAGAGAAGAATAGGTGGTATGCAAAGAAGCAAAGTGTTTTTAACTATTAAATTCAAAAATTGAAACCTCAACATCCTAATTGAGTTTTTTCTCAAACACTCATAAATTTATGCAATCTGAGCTTTGTTCATGGTAGTAGTACTTTGTAGTGGTGGTACTAAAGGTTTTCAATTTTTGTTTAGATGGTACACATTAGTCAAAAGGTTGTGAACTGCTGATATAGGCAATTCAAAGTGACTAGATATATTTGTATAAGAAAAAGCATGAGATCACTCAAAATGTCTGTAGAAGATGTGGACCATGTTGGAGCGTTCGTAGTCCTAAGAAATCTGTTCGGAAGTCATGTTTTGAACTTCATCTGCCAACGACGGCAGTTAGGAAGGTTTTAAGAAACATGATTCCCCAAAATTCAACATTTACTGTGCTGTGTCCCGACATCAAGT